TGTTTGGTATATTGTAAAATCCGAGAAAGTCTTCATGGCCATCAAGTTGTTCGTCAACCCACCGAAAACATAAAGTCAGTTGCTCCTTATTACCAATATCCGTGTATTCGTCAGCTATTATGGAAAAGAATCCTGTTCCAATATCCTTTATGAGGTCCCGTTGAACCTCGTGTGCCATAATTTCAATAATTTCATTTTGTATATCATGGCTCGTATATTTATCACCGCCTCGTTTCTTAAGCAGCTCGAGTAACGCAGGATCGTCGCGTCCCCGAAGTTTCATTAATTGGTAAAAGTTCGACTCAGTATCAGTGTCTCCTTGTATAGCTTGTCCTTGCAAGTTTTCAATTATTTTCAATAAGCAGCGGCGATTGGTCTGCCTTAGTTTCTTGCTCTGCTCATTTGTCATATCGATAACATTGCCACAGTTCTTTGGGAAATTAACTGCATAATCAATCGCCATCTTGTGACATTCTGAAGATTCGTGTTGCTTGAATTTATCTAGGGACTTTTTCCAGTTACAAAACCCATCCGAGATAAACTTTTGATCTTTTTTACTAGCACACCTTAAGTTTCCCTGAGCGTTTTGCTGAGCGCAATAAAAACAAAGGACCGAGTCAAGCTGTTCATCATAGTGCAGCCAAGAAAATATATCAAACCATGCCGCCTGAAAAGAACGATTCTGTCCAGAAAATTTTCTTTTAGGAAACTCAAAGTTTTTTGGTTGGTGAGGGTTCATATAGGATGATATATTTGTTTTCTTGCAAGGGTCGACGTGTATTGCCGCTTGTGGCTCATGTACTTTGGACAAAGTTGAGCTCACAACTGTTGGCACTCGATGGCGTTCTGGAGAAACCTGTGGACTGGACGCGGCTTGGTAGACATCACTTGTACGAGTTGGAGTTCTAGTTATTTGTGCGACAGACTGGGAGACGCAGGCTTGTGCAGGATCGTAGTAAATCGTTCTTTCATTTCCTGAAATGTTAGGATTTGGCACGTTTTTACAAATGATGTTGACACTAACATGCTGGAAGCAAGGTGTCGATAAAGCCGGTTTATGAAACCGCAACGCATGCATACAGTCATGAATACGCATTGCGTATACTTGACTGTATGCCATGGTAATATATATGTTCGGGTACACTCTAAAAAAAGGTGTGTTAATTTAACACACCTTTTTGTCAAATTTTAACACACCTTAAGGTGGGTTTTAAAACACACCTTAAGGTGTGTTTAACACAGCTTTTGGCGTGTTTTGTAACACAGCTTAAGGTGTGTTTAACACACCTTAAGGTGTGTTAAACACACCTTAAGGTGTGTTCTAAAACCCACCTTAAGGTGTGTTTTCGGCTTGTCCAGATTTTAACACACCTTAAGGTGTGTTTTGTAAAAAGGTGTGTTTTTGAACACACCATGGCGTGTTTTCGTACACACCATGGCGTGTTTTCATACACACCATGGCGTGTTTTCATACACACCATGGCGTGTTTTAAAACACACCTAAAGCTGTGCTGTATAACACACCATTCAGGTCTGTAATGTTTACAGCACGTTGTAAGGTGTGTTTCATAACACACTAAGGTGTGTTACATAACACACCTACAAAAGATGCTATAATAACACAGCAAACCTAAGGAGGTGTATTAGAAAACACATCTACATATTCTTATTAAAAGTAAAATGACATTAGAGACATGCTCATTTGCACAGAGCTTATCCATGACAAAATATTTATTTGACACTGACTAAATTACATTTTACATAGTTGACTATGTACTTTTACTATGTACTTTTACTAAACCGAACTGTAACAGACAACTTCTCATTCTGATGCAGTGTTCTGGCAATTAGAGTAATGGAGTACTATATTAATTGTCTCGTACTTTATAGCCATGCAATTGTCAAAATATTGCAAGCCCACATCTTCCACAATCAGAATACCTGTCATATGAAACACTGTAACTGATAACTTGCATCCAATCATTCCATCTTTGTATCATTTTCTTTATCGCTCGGTGAACCACAACCTTTGAATCACATAGCCAAGTTTAACCATATTTACAGGTAGTCGTATCAATCCAACATACAAGCCTGTGTCAAGATAAGTAAAAAATTAATATACAATGGGACAATCTAACAGCTTAAGTTTATATATAACATATGTAATTAAGTCATTTAACCCACTAGCACGCAGGACTCTCTTCTTGATGACTAAAATTGTCTGGCGTTTGACAGAGTAAAATAACAAAGGCGGGTCCATTTGGGTGCATTTCGGCCTAATGGGTTATCAAGGCACATTGGCAGATAGTTTGGATAACCATTAGTGAGCAGGACACTGCTCTTGAGGAGTAAAATTGTCTGGCATTTCACAAAGTAAAATGTCTGGTGTTAGTTAAGTGCAACATAACAAAGTAGGGTGCACTTGGGCACATTGCTCCATCGTGTTACCACATTGAAGTTTATATACGGTAAGCACTCAAAGGGTTAACAATAAAAGGGTGCATATATTAGCTTATACAGTCATTTAACAAGTTAATTTGTTTGGCATTTCAAGACATAGGATGCAATGGACTGATACTGTATCTGGCCGGATATTAAGATTTTAATTCATTATCTGGTATCCGGCTACCCAATGCCGGATATTATTCATATAGGGTTCAGGCCTTCTTTTCAGGTTAGAAAATGATTTGATAAGGTTATCATATCATGATCATTGAAGTAAAAATATGATAAATATGATCAGTATTTTCAATGCTTGTTTGTACAGTAAATGGGGATTTGAACTTTTAACTGATGTAAACGAGGCTTTTGCTACCAATGATGCATGTTTGCTACCAATGATGCAGGTTTACTAGTTTTAGACTGTTTACTTTTTAACCAAATAAAATTATTACCAGGACTTAACCTTAAATGATGCCTGAACCTTATATAATTATTTGAATAATACCCTTAATCGGGCTGGATATTTTTCAGCCATCCAGCATATCCTGTATCTGGCTGGATAGCAGAAATACTCTGTCCTGCACACCCCTAGAAAGAACCGAAAGTAGGCAACATTTAAGAGGAAATTGTTTCTTCGGTGTTAATAGGTGAAATGAGTCCATGCAGTCGATAAGTAAAATTGTCTAGCATGAGACGTCACAGTTCAATATTAAAGTACTTAAAGTAGGGAGTGTTAGGGAAAATTGCATCTAAATATGTCAACATGAAACATGGGCAAAATCTAGCTACACACAAATTAACTTGTCCGGCATTAGGAAAGGTGACATAATTTAAGAAAGTGCTGAAAACTGGGTTAATTGGAGTGAATTGGGTTGTTACATATATTACTAAGCAGATCATGTGGGTGGTGTAGCTAGCTAAATGTATTCATGAGTTTGAACAAACAAACAAACTAAGGACTTTAACTGTTTCCAATTGTCCATATTCAAGTTGCCACACAAAACATCAAATTGACATTTTTATCTAAGCCGATCTATCCATCCTTGAAAACTTCAAGCATGACATACAAAGAAACTTGGAATTTAACCCCCCCCCCATTCCATTGATGTCTTAATTAGTACATCTTACTATTATCAGTCTCAGAAGATTCTACTCTTAGACTCCCTCCCCCTCTGGATGACTAAAATGTCCTTTGCATCTAAAAGGGTTACAGTAAATATGAAATGTGACCCTCTGATGTTAGACATAGTAAAATCATGAAGTACTGAAAGCAGTCTGGCTTTTATCTTAATAATGTGTTAACACAAAATCCGGGCAGACAATCTAGTTTCAATGAAAGGTTACTGTCGTTCCAATTGAAGTGTTCAAATATTGATTCAATACATTACCTCGGGCTGACCAATTCATTTGATCAAGTTCCTCGAGATATTCATACACTTCCTGTGAAAGAGCCAATTCCAAGTATTTGATCATTTCTGGTCACTTCCTTTCTATTTATGATTGGTTAGTTGCACAAACAACAAAGGTGATTGGTGCATTCAAACTATTCAACAGGAAGTTTACAATTATACTAGGAAGTGTATGAATATCTCGAGGAACTTGATCAAATGAATTGGTCATCCCGAGGTAATGTATTGAATCAATATTTGAGCAACACTTCAATTGGAACGACAGTAAAACCTTTTAAGTCCAACACACTCCCCATTGACAAACAAAATCACCATGCAGGGGTTGATTGTTCGAAAGCTGATAAGTTAACCTTAGATTAAGCAAACGTCCTAACAGTTTGTTAATAAATTTGGAAATATTTCTTTAGACATCTTGTCTGGATCAGTACCATAGGAGTTTTCTTTTCATAATTTTAAAACAAAAAGATACTGTATGTAGAAATACATAAATTTTAACTACGGGTTAGGGTTAATCCAGCTATGCAGGCCTTAAAATATCGGTCGGTCATGGACATTGTCCGACCCATTAGTGAAATTGTCCGACGTAGAGAGGAAACCACCAGACATTCTGTCCGACCAAAGTGAAATTGAGGTTTATTGTTTGTCCGACCTGAGTGTATTGGTGTCCGACCGAACTGTAGCTTTGTCCAACGTAAATCAAAATGTACCCTAGATCCCAGGACTAGAGGCTCGTATGTTAAATGGAAAATCAGAGTACTATAGACCTTATTCATAAATCGTGATGAGGCCTCTATCCTAGGAAACGGGGAAAACGCGGGGAAGCTCTGCAGCTTAAAGAGGGGGATAAGTCCCTTCTGCGCATGTGCCCGGCGTTTGTTTACAGGGGACTCCACCGGAAATGAACCTCTCGTTTCCAGTCCCATAATTGGCGATATACACACGCGATGTTTATATTCCACATGAGGTGATGAGGAGTGAATGTAAAATATTTATATAGAATTCGAAAACAAATTTGCGACTTTTATGAAACCAAATCCACCTATTAGTAAATTATTGAAACATATAAAACAAGAAGAGAACACGGAAAGAATATTACGCCAACAAAGCTGCCCTAAAAGTGCGTTTGTGCGATATTCAGTGCAGCACGCTATGATCAAATCGACATGTGTTGTTGTCCGCTACGATGCCTTTTATATTCAGGTAAATGTTTTGTTTATACTTGGGTTTTAACTGTTGTTAAATAGTAATTTTGGTCAGAAATTCTATGCTGGGATTCTATTGCATTGGATTTATATGCTGACTATGTATTTAATATTTATTTATCAGATCTGATCGAATATTCGTCCCCGGCAAAGAAAGTCAAGAGATTTGAAACCATAACTACAATTTACTGTTAATATTTTTATTGATGCGCTATTATTCAAGACGGCTTCATAACTTTATTTTTATTTGTACATTTATTCTACTATATACAATTGTTTGTAATCTATAACCAGATATCTGAATATAAATCTTTATATTAACATTGTATGTCATTTCACATAGCATGATTGTTGTATAAAATTATCGAACTTTCAAGCTAGATAAATTTTTGTATATGCATGCAAAGTTTATTTTAGTATTGGAAAACTTTCATACTGTAGGCTGAAACATAGTAGCATGAGGTATATAGTCATTATCATGACAGTTGAGTTGCCTTGGAACTCTTACGATTTTGTGATATACACCCACAGTACATGAAGTTACACCTCAGGAAGTAATAAAGATGACAACTGTATAATCTTTATAGTTACTATATTATTTTTATTAAAAGCAATGCATGGTAGTATCTTTTAGCATTCTGGAGTTGAAAATGAGCTTCAATATCACAAGATTTGTCTGGTGATATATTGGAATTTGTCTTGGAATATATGTCTTGAGATCTGACAACTCAGAACTGCCATTAATTAAATTATTAACACTAGCTGACATTGTACATTATATTATTTTATACCATGATATTCTAGTAAGAAGTGTATCCAGCATACAATAGTGAAATCAAATGTTGACTAGGCAACTACTACTAGACTACTTCCCCCCCTCTAAAATAGATGTAAGTCACCACGGCCTCACCCACCTTTCTAAAACTGAAATGTATTACACCCCCCCCCCCCATATCAATAGCTAGAGGATCTATGGTAAGGCACAGTAGCTATGACATTGTCATATAGCATCCTGTTTGTATGCTGCATGTCAGATGTTTTGCATGCATGTTTATGTTATTATTTAAAACAAGAACATCTTCTCGATAATGCCTGGCAATTATTGTTTCAGAACATTTGTGCCAAAAACATTTTGTTTGAATTACAGTGTTCTTGATGGGGGTTCTTGATAGAGTTCAGTCTTGTCCTCTTAATATGCAATATCACCTTCATTTAGAAAAACACTTATTCCTTCTTGTGTTGGTATGGGTACAAAATGTATACAGTAGCCCCAGCTATAGCCTGCTCACAGGCTCTATTATATAGAGCCTGCGACTTTTATTGATATTTTTTCAATACGCCCCCTTTGAGATAATTGAATATCCGGTAAATAGTAGCCAATCAAAGCAAGTTTTGTTAATTAGATTACCAGAGGTTATTAACAACAACAAACAGTTTCTCGCGCAATTTTACGCCTGTATCTTTCACTAGGATTCAAGGTCTAAACTTTAATCTAAAATAATTCATGGTCGTTTTTTCCCTAAAGTGTTCTAATATTTAAAACATAGTCCCGTTTGTATATTGCTGTCTTGTTCGTACATTGCCGTTTTAAATTATGTAACTATACTACAGAGACGTAAAATTTTACTCTCTATTAGTTAATGTATTTTATATATTTATATCCAAAATATAACTGTAAGATTTAAGGAAACGTATTTAGGTTTTGAACAAAGTAACAAACACTATTTATTAAAAGTGTCGAACAATAGCAGGCGAAAAAACAACATTAATCATTATTGCGTGAAGTCTGTCATTTGCTCAATAATACAATTAACTCAATAGACAATAGACAATTTGAAAACCCGTGGCCGTGGCATCGATTCTGCCGTGTTTAATAACTACATTTTTTTGTAAAAAGCTCTTGTTGTAATAATATATGTCACTAGTTGAGACTCCCAAAAATAAAGTCTCAAAGAGAGAGCGGACTTCGGTCAAAAAACACGCAAACGACTACTGCAAAATTTCCAGGTGTAAATTCAAATTGGCCAGGTGTTCTAAGAACGACTTTCCTCGACGGCGTCTGTTTTAATAATTTGCCCATTGTCTTGACTTATTCAAGACCAGATTGTTTAGGCAGAAAGCCTTGGGTTGACAGGGAAGTATTTGGGAGAAATGTTCGGAGGCATTTGACAATCAACTGCTTTATACTAGCTGATTCACTGCCTGTGTCTCAACGAACGTCTCGCTGGGCTAACCTTAAGTTGTTCAACGTTTGAAACCGCAAGTGATGCAAACGCGGTTAGATAAATTGTCAGCCTGAACTAGACTTATTTTACTCTCTCTGCAAAGATCAGCAAGGCATACGTCGAAGTTTTCCCTTGTACTTCTTTGGAAAAGGTTTATTATTATAGCCGACGAAGACAAAGTATCGGTATATTACATGTAAACTTTTATCAAATCCCGTTGGAAGTACAGTTAATATTGCTAACCTTCGCTCATCCTTCAACGTTAATTTAAATTGAAAGGTTTCTCAAATACATTCAGTTACTTCTTCGAAGAGATAAACAAAGTCATGGTTTTATACGCCACTGATTGAATGCCAGCATTAAAATTACATTGCGAAATGTCGTACGAGTTAAATATTTGCACGATATTAACTCATGGGGCACTTCTGACCAATGGGAATTTTGCGTACGCTCCGTACGCATAAATCGACTTTTTACTAATAAAGGTCGCAGGCCGTACCTCGCAGCCTCTGCCTGACAACGGCCTGCGAGCAGGCTATTGGAAAACATATATGGGGTCCAAAAAAACAGTGGAAGTCCAACCGACTATTTCAAAATCAGAAATAGTATGCATTTGGTTTTTCAAGTTTACCAAGTCTTCAGTATAAAAAAAAGGAAATTTCGCTTTACTGATGACATGTTATATTATAATAATATATTGAAGGAGAATTGTTTATTTGTTAAATTCTGTCAATTCTCTACGTGGACTGTAAGTTTCGGTGATCACATCTTCAGTTCATTTTTTTACAACGACGTTTCGATTCTAATTCATGTATCATCAAGGCCATCAAAGCGTATCGCCGTGAAACTAAGATCATTGTAATTTAGCACATAAAATCATGTCTGATAAAGATTTCGTTTCATTTAGTTGTAAATACTCAGTATAATCAGTGTAAAATGTCGTGCGTCGGAAAATCGGATACATAAGTCACGCAGTCTGGCTAGATTTGCTGGGCTAGTTGCCTGTCACTTGGTGAGAAAACTCTAAGTTGTGTTTCGCACAACGCTGTTTTTGTCGTGGCCGGACAACTTCTTCAGAACAGAAAATCTTCAATGTAAAATTCTTGCTATAACTTAGACTTTTTAGATTGTTAATCCCAAGCTGCGGAATAAAGCATGCATATAATCACGTATTGTAATGCGATCCTGATTGATACCGTATAGGGAAACTATTTCATGTAAGAATCGTATAAATTCTCCAATCTGGTAGAATAAAAATGATAAAGTAGAACACGTTGAATTCAACACTAGAGTTGCAAAGATATTTTCAATTCTGCACATGTCATCTGCAAAGTATAGTATAGGGGCTCAGCGAAGCCCCATGCACCTAAATTGGTATAGGAGTTCAACAAGGAATCCCAGAGCCCCCCTCCTACACTGTACCTCTGGGTTGGTCTCACTGCTTATAACTCCATGTATAACAATCATATGGAGGGAAGCCTGGATCTCTTCTCGATCAAGTACGATCTCGTGGGAAGCCAGAATCCCATTTCCAAATTATGAACAATATATACATAATGCGGATGTAGGCGCTCGCGAGTCAGATAAGAGCCACTGATTAAAGTATATATATATATATATATATCTTATCTTTTTCATTAGCTAGATTTATCAAAAATGGGTAATGATTCGTCCAAGGAAAAAGGCAAGCAGAATGTAGAACAGCCAAGAAAACACGTCCAAGCTCCTGGGAAGGTTCTGAACGACACGAAAAAGGTGTTACTTGTCTACAAGTCTGATACGAAAGAAGAAGAGCTTATCGTCCGACATTTTCGAGACGCTCTTACAGATAAAGCTAACGGAAGTGTAAAAGTCGAAAAGAGCGTGAATCTTGCCAATGGAAATGGAAACGATAATGTGAAAGATTCCTCTTGGTTGGATGAAGTAAACAACGTCGTTTTATTATGCTTGACGTCCGAAGCGATTTCGCTGCTGGAACAAATACTTAGAGAAAAAAGGTACGTGCAAGAAGGCCGCTTGAATGGGAAAGTATTTTCGGTTTCCTTCGGAGCAAGTTTAAAGGATCAATGGCCTCCGGGAAGAATCCAAAAAGGTTCTGAACATGTTCGAGACTTCGCCTTCAATTTTGAAAATGTGGATAGCCTCAAACCCAAGGACTTCGAAAAATCAGACAGAATGACAGCGTTAGTGGCGGCAATGCAAGGTACATGCATAGACTGACAATGATGAACATGACAATTTTTCACTTAGCTATAAATTCACTGGTAACATCGTTAGAACGGTAGATGGATTTCAAACTGTTTAGTCACAAACTAATTGCACAAACCAGTCTTTTTCTTAGGCGACTCGATTGTCATTTAACCGATTAGTGTCACACCATAGTATCGCGGGCTCAAATTCCTGCTGGCAGCCATTTTATGGGCCGAGTAAATCAATACATGCGGAAACGTTATTTATAATCCGTCGTACATTTAAACCATCCTTTGAGAATCCTTGCTTTTTATCTGAAACAAGTCATATTTTTATCGTTATTTCTAGATTTGGCATGGGGTAAGATAGAAAGTTAGAAACGAGATCAGAAAATGTCCGCGATATCATAGTGTGATACTAACCTTTAATTAATAGACCTTTCCCCTTTTGAGTGAAATTTTGATCTAGACAAGTCTGGACAAAAATTTTACCACAGCTTGAAAGAGCATCACAAAATTAGTAAGATCCGAAGTTTCGTTGCGAAATGTTGTAAAATGCGGATAATATAGCCTCGCGAACTTTGCTGTTTTTCAGTCATTTTGTATTACAAACGGGAAATTGATAATCAGATGATCAAACTGATTATCAATTTCCCATTTGTATTTTGTAATACAAAATGGCTGAAAAAACGGCAAACTTCGCAAGGCTATATTATCCGCATTTTACAACATTTCGCAACGAAACTTCGGAATATTACTAATTTTGTGATGCTCTCAAAGCTGTGATGAAATTTTTGTCCAGGCTCAGTGTCTGGATTAAAACTTCACTCATAAGGGGAATTAGGTCTATTAAACAATTCAGTTGAGCAATATTTAATGAGGTCCAATACATGTATATGTGGATATATAGAGGTTTGGAGTATCCATCGTGCAGACGTTTGTAATACTGCCTTATCTATTTGATCAAGTGTACACGTACAGTAGTATTTCTGTGGTGATGACATCTATTATAACCACGTTGACAGTGGTTTGCTGGCAGGGGAGGGGCATGCTTCCCCCGTAAGGGATTTTAGGGGACGCAAAAGGTCTTAGGGGGGATGGAGGCGGCGAAACTGCATGAAATGAAACCAAAATTGTCAATTCTACATAAATGTCGGCCAAATGAGTAAAGGAAAGAGTGGTGCGTCAATTAAACTATTTGAAAATTTGTTCAGCGACCATCACATACAATTCCTTAAAATTCTTTCCAAAAAAATCAAATTTTCGAGACTAGCTCGCTAGCCATATTATTATTGTTCATTTCCTAATATTGTTTTCTTTTTTTGAAAAACGCAGGGTTTATTTTAAGAAAAATTTAGAACTGCACATATGGGGATGTTACGAAGGCAACGGGTGTTTGACTGGGGGGGGGGAGTGGGGGTCGAAGGATTTTTTACCAGCAAATAGGTGACAGAATAATGGTGTGGTTGGGTGGGAGAATTGGAGAAAGGCCAGACAAACTCGATTTTGGGTGCGGGAGCTAGGGGGTGATCCCCAAAACGATATGAATCTGGAGGCTCTTAAGTTCTGGCAAAGATTTGTTTTACCCAACCACTCACAAAAACTGTTTCAAAACATGTAACTGGGAATCATGAATATTCAATATATAACAACCTTAAATTTGCATTTGAGGCAGCAAAGAATATTAGATTCTCCCACTCTAATCTCTTTTGGGGAGCTTCGCTCGTCCCAATTTTTCCTTCTTTTCCATTACCCCAGCACGTAAGTGATTTGTGAGGACTGAGGAAAATAGGAGGGTCTGGAGTCCTCCCCCATTTTTGATCGATGCTCAATTAATGACAGCATTTCTGGAATTTTCTGGAGCATCCACAAGGGTAACTGAGAAGACTGTTTTAATTAAGGCTATTTTTATTAGTTTGCTGACTGCACATTTGTGTTTTAAGAACTACACAAATGGGTTTAGAACTGCACATTTTGTGTAGAACTGCACGTTAAAATAAACCCTGGAAAAACGGATAAACAAAGTTGACAAGAAACCCGTTTACGCTTATTAATATGTTCCCTAGCAATCATCACACCATAGCAACGATATGCTATTCTATGCTGTTTTAATTTTTTCTTACCGCGGTTGGATTTCGCGCTTGAATTTCGGTGAATAACAAGTCTGAAGTCTCCCTAACTGAGTGGATGAATTTATGCCTAATACCGTTTTACTTTGTAAACGCTACACCAAGTACTCCTTTGCATGAATTGAAACAGATCAGTGAAAAGTGGTTCAGTCAAATTTTCAAGTAAGACCTAAAGATCTAGAGAAATTTTCTTGCTAATTATGTCATTATAACGTAACAAAAGAAACACGATATCGGCAGTGTCGCTGGTTATATATTAATCAGTATTGTTATAGGATTAGAAGGATGCTAGGAATTACAATTAGATTGTGAACCTAGGCTTCATTTTCGGGCCTAGCCAGGCTTGTTACCTCGCCGACCCCCTCTTAACGTACCATCTGTGTACCGTACGATCGACGATCGTACGAGATTTGAGACTGCGCGCAGGCTAATTAACGAATTGGGAACTGTACGAGAATTTGCTAGTTTCCACTTGTAAGTTGTATCATCAGTCCGTGGTCCGTGTGGATGTCCTAAACGGCTACTAATTTTACTACTGAGCACGGAGCGGAATTTTTCTTTGTCTTGTCAACCCCCTAAAAAAATATTGAAATTTAATGTTCCATGGGGGCGATGCCTCTCTTTGGGGCGCTTGCTAAGAACATGGCTGTCAGCTGTCAGCTATTTTGGTAAAACTACCTTACGATTTTCCCGCAGAAGTGCGACCTTAGCCTTTGGGGGCTGCGAGCAGGCTAGTGCGACCCTGTATGTAGCGCCTGCCTTGCAGGCTATTACTAGAAATTCTATACCATAGGAATTCTGGGAAACAATTGCAATTTCGCCAATTTACAACCAAAGTAAACAAGTAGGCATGCCTTGGTAAACAAGTGCAACAATGCAACATGAAATTTGGATACCAAAAAAAGAAAGTACTTTAGATTTAGTGCATCCTTAATAAATTTGGGCACTGCAATCTGTCGCCAAAACGTTTTCGGATATTGCTTTGGTAATTGCTTGGGTAATCTGTGGTCAAATCGAAGGGCGAGACGAATGAATATATAATATGCAGCTTTGTTTTATAATAATTGTTTACGAATGTTTCGATTCCTGGCATATTCTAAAACATGTCTCAAGAAAGTAAATACACGTCGGTAGAAATGGATGAAAAGAAATCTAATAAGGGAAACAATGATTTGGAGCAGCCGTTTGATGAGGACTTTTGGTTGAAGGTGAGTGTTTGTATTGATAGTATACACAATCAACGTTGAATTAAAATATTTAAGGTCATATAGTGATCATTGGAGTATTCTCGTCCAGATTTAGTGTCGTGCAAGTTCCATCTGTGTAATTCCTTCCATCCTATATTATATCTGCTTTCACATTGTTTATTGAGATTATTTTATTATCTAAGCTTTGTTGAGATTGATTTTTGTTGAAATTTAAATTGAGACAGTTATGTAGCAGCTGATATTTATAATTTTGACAAACTAGAGTGTTCTGAATAAATTATGTAAGCGTAGCTGGGCATTCAAATTGTATGAATCCAGTCAAAATGATATCAAATGGATTGACAAATACGTTCATTTGCCGATGCAGATCAAATCTTAATTAAATTGTGTGTGGTTTGACTTTCTAACTTTTACTATAGACATACAAGGCAGGGGGTGGG